AGTAGAGATGGGGTTTCACCATGTTGACCAGGATGGTCTCGATCTCTTGACCTCGTGATCCACCCGCCTCGGCCTCCCAAAGTGCTGGGATTACAGGCGTGAGCCACCGCGCCCGGCCTGCAGAGAGCTTTCTTACTTTGCGTATTAAACTTTCACTCCAACCTCACCCTTGTGTGCCACTCCTTGACCATTTTAGATGCGATACAAAGAGCTCCAGGTGATACCTGGCAAGAGCGACTGCTACATTGCGGTGCATGGGTGAGATGGCAACAGCGTGACGCAGAGCCACCTTTCCCTCCCATTCAAAGCTCTGGTTACGCCGAGTGCATTTCACTCCCATCCTGTGTCTCAGCCTCTGCCACCACGCTCCGCTTCCCTACATCCACACGTCCCTCAAGGTCCCTATTAAACGGCATCTTGCACAGGAAGAGGTTCTAGTAGCATTCTGGATTTCGTCTGTCACAAGCCTGTCATGTGCAACAGCATGGCTGGAACTGGAGCTCATTATGTTAGGTGAAATAAGCCAGGCACAGAAAGACACACTTCAGGCCAGGGGCGATGGCTCATGCCTGTAAACTCACAACTCCAGCACTTTGGGAGGCTGAGGTGGGTGGATCACCTGAGGTCAGGAGTTCGAGACCAGCCTGGTTGACATAGTGAAACCTTGTCTCTACTAAAAATACAAAAATTAGCCTGGTGTGCTGGCACATGCCTATAATCTCCGCTACTGGGGAGGCTGAGGCAGGAGAATCACTTGAGCTCGGGAGGCGGAGGTTGTGGTGAGTTGCGATTGTGCCATTGCACTCCAGCTTGGGGGCAACAGAGTGAGAGCATCCACCTCAAAAAAAAAGACAAACTTCATTTGTTCTCACTTATTTGTGGGAGCTAAAAATGAACACAACTGAACTCATGGAGATAGAAAGTAGAATGATGGTTGCTGGAGGCTGGGAAGGGTGGTGGGGGCAGAGGGGATGATTAATGGGCACAAGAAATAGAAAGCACGAATAAGCCCTAGTATTTGCTAGCACAACTGAGTGATTACAGTAAAAAATAATTTAATCGAACATTTTAGAATAACTACGATTATAATTGCATTATTTGTAACACAAAGGGTACATACTTGAGGTGGTAGATACCCCGTGTACCCTAACGTGATTATTAGGCATTGCATGCCTCAAAGTATTCCATGTACCTCATAAATATATACACTTACTGTGTACCCACAAAAACTAAAAAAGGCTGGGCATGGCGACTATAATCCCAGCACTTTGGGAGGCCAAGGTGAGCAGATCACCTGAGGTCGACTTCAAGGCCAGCCTGACCAACGTGGAGAAACCCCATCTGTACTAAAAATACAAAATTAGCCAGGTGTGGTGGCGCATGCCTGTAATCCCAGCTACTTAGGAGGTTGAGACAGGAGAATCACTTGAACCTGGGAGGCGGAGGCTGCAGTGAGCAGAGATCGTGCCACTGCACTCCAGCCTGGGCAACAGAGCAAAACTCAAAAGAGAATCTCAAAAACAAAACAAAACAAAATTCAAAACAAAACACAGCAAAACAAAACCAAACGTAAAAATATCGTCCGGCATGCTGGCTCATACCTATAATCCCAGCACTTTGGGAGCCCAAGGCGGGAGAATTGCTTAAGCCCAGGAGTTTGAGTCTACCCTGGGCAACATAGTGAGACCTTATTTCTACAAACAATAATTTAAAAAATAGCTAGGTGTGGTGGCATGTGCTGTAGTCCCAGCTACTCAGGAGGCCAAGGTGGGAGGATCACTTGAGCCCAGGGGGTCGACGCTACAGTAAGCTGTGATCACACCACTGCACCTCAGCCTAAAAAAGAAAAAGAAGAAAAAACAACAGCAACGGAAGACTGATTCCCCGTTTATTGATTCATTTATTTGAAGTCTGCAGTCCTGGATAACTGATCCTATCACAGCAGGGGCAATGTTTGTTTTGTGGGCAATGCTTTCACCAGAGCCTGGCACATAGGAGGCACTTGTAACAGAGACGGGAGATACTTGTCACAAAACCCTTCACTCTCTAGTTCATGAGAAGTACCAATATTTAGCCTGCCACACAGTCACATGGAACCAAGGCTGCATTTTCCAACCACTGTGCTGTTGGGCTGAATTTTTGTATTTTTTTTTTTTTTTTTT